CAAAGGTCATTCACCAGCACACTGCGCCGCGGCGCTGCGGCCAAGAGGAAAAGACTATGTGCCTGCACTTTCGCAGACTGCTGTGATATACAATTTACAGTATTGAACCTTTCAATGTCAAGCACTTCCACTATTTATTATCCAGGTCCTACCTGATCCGATCTAGTTGCGCCGATACGGCTCAGTGTGTGTGTGTCCACTCCTGTTTCCAAGGACACTACTCTAGTTTTTTCTAATCTACCCTACGAACTTGTCTGTACAGAAGCAGGGGGACAACCCCATGGATGCAGTTGGTTGTCCAACGAAGAGGGCTGCATTCCATGGCTGATATGATCCTGGGACGCTAGGATCACGTACCTGCAATTTTAATACTAAGTTTGATCTTCAATCGCTGATGTTTCTAAGTCAGTGCAACGCCGTCTCATACGTTGTTTCCTGCAGTATCTAGATTTAAAGGGCTAATGCACACCGCGAAGCTACCTGAAATCACGCTCCACGGAGCAACCTTCTCAAGTGTGTGATAGTGTGTGTTTTGCACGTTGTTGGATACGCGATCAGGAAAGCACAAGGTTGGGAGTGAGAGCTTCATGCAAGTGGTGCGCTTCTTTTTGCTGTCCACACATCACTTGAAGTTGGGTTGGCAGTCCAGCTGACGGGACGCAGAGGTTTAGGGTTTAGGGTTCACGGTTCAGGGTCCACCGTGTTCGCTCCGTCTCGGTCCGAATGGGTGAATTATTGGTGTCTCTGGTCCAATCCACGATCTGTAATGAGACATGGAATGGTTCGAAGACTGGGATGATGAATCCAGGTGATGCAGCCCACTTCCATGACCCTGGAAGAGGGGGTGCATGTGCAATCACTATATCACTCGAATCCTTCGCACGAAACATTGGAAGAACAAATCAGCATCCAATGTGTCAACCTAACTATCATCAACATCCTTGAACAACCCTTGGAACTGCTACACTGGGTGGACAGACGACAGACTCATCTTGACTCAATGGACTCGAGTCTGGAGTTTAAACAGCGACTGCAAGCGAGATGAACATGCCCTGACAACTAATTACCCTGGCACGACATGTAGGAAATAGTTATATATACAAACGTTGACACCATGTTTGATCATTTAGAGCAGGATAATGTAGGTAACTATTCCATACATGGTCTGGGATACATGCCAGCCTGTGGTCCCCAAATGTACCGCAACCACCAGCGTGTTAATTTTTTGGGGAAACCACTCCTGCATTCCAACAAGCTGGAATGCAGGTTCTTTTCCACATTCCTCACTGAATCACTAGGTGGGAATCTTCAACATCACACCCACAGGTCACGAGCGCAAATCGTTTTTGGACGTTGACACCGGCGAATCGTTTCCAGGATCCGTCCGATACCCGTTCGTCGTCTTACCGTCCAGGCCACCGTAAATGAGCATGTCCTGGCCGTCGGTGTTGAGCTCCCCGGGCGGAGGTCCCCAATTCTCCCGCAGGTCGTGCGCGAAGGGGCACAGCTCCTGGCGAGGGGATCACTCTCTCATTCCATGCATGTTGTACACGACTTCTGGTACCGCTCCACGCGTTTTTCTGCACCGAACGTGGTGTTTTGTACCCTGCCTCGTACTCGTCCACACTCATGCGATAGGCCACGTTGAGCTCCGACATGGACATGGCCGCCTCGGGGTCTTCCAAGATGGACTTTTGCAAACCTGAAGGCATGGAGAGCATGGCGCCGCGTTTCATCCACCACACCGGATGGAGCAAACCGGTGGGCGGAATGGCGCTGCAGTCGCTGTTCTTTTCCGACTTGACGTGTTGAAGAGTTTAAGCCACCCTGGAAAGGAGCAGCTGTCGCTGCAAAACTGTAATGTCAACTAGGACCTAGGATAAACAAATATCCAAATTGAGATTATTGTTAAACAAGTCAACCACTGAAAAACATAGCACCTCACTGTTTGTCCAATTCAAAGGTTTCATGGATGGTCTCTGCAATCAGCGTGCCTAACATAAAAAGAATGCAAACACGTTTGCCCAGCGGACCCCGACGTCATCCATCGTCATCCCACACCTTTCTGGTCCTTCCAACTACAAAACACTTGAACTAATCTTTCGTCTATAAACTAACTGAGCTTCAAACATCTTCAGACCAAACATGGCCAAACCAAACCCTCCGCCTAACTCATTTCGCAGCCTAACTCATTTCATCAAACGTTTTTCGGTGCATAGAGCCCGAAACGCCCGGCGCCGGACATTCCCGGCCTTCGACCGTCTCAGGGATGTCCTGGCGCGAGTCGGCTTCAACCGCATCCGACCGTCATCTTCGACCGCTCGGTGTGCAACAGGACGACAGGAGAAGTAGGGGTAGAGAACTGGGCAAAAGAACATTTATAAGAAAGAATGGGAAGATCATGGAAGAACAAGCAAGCTGAGCCACAGAAGTGCTGATATGATGCTCCCATGTGATCCCTCTCCTCGACAGTGTAGCCCTGCTTCTTTAACTCCTTCATGACCGCATAGATGCTGCCGAAGACATCCAAATACGCAGCCGTACCCACATTGCCCTCCAAAGCACAGCACAAACGTTTTTCCGCAAAAAAACACCAGTCCTTCTCGCGATTCATCTCGCGATTCGTCCTTCTCGGGTTGGAAACAAATGTCCACATTCCCTAGGGCTCCTGGCCTACCTCTGAGGAGATGGGCTCTTGGCTTGTCTCTTGTTTGGGACATTTGAGGTGGATCCTTTCAGCACAGTAAAGAGGGCCAGGGGCCACACATGTGTGGAGTCCAAACGCATTCACAACATAGAACCTCGGTCCTTTGTTTGGAGTTCACAACACATAGAGAATGATTCAACATGGTTTTGGTGGATGCGTTTCAGGTGGCGCCTTGTCCGGTGGGAATTGGAAGACGCAAATGCTCAGCTTCTTCTCCTGAAGTCGGACAGGATGGTGAAGATGTCCGTCTAAGCATGTTTCCTGTACATACATGCTGTCCTGCAAAATTAGCTCTATTTTTTCTGATGCAATTGCACCGGTATATCACTGTACAGTCCTCATCCCTGTGCAGGTGACGATAGCCAAGATAGGTGACCCTTCTAGCTTGTTAGATTCTCATTAGCACTTCAATAGGATCGAAACAACAAGATTGTAGTCTATTCCAAACACCGGATAACACCAGCATTTGTCAATGACAGGACAAAGGTACAACAGAACCGTACCATGTCTTATTCCTCACACACTGTGGGGCTCTATGTGGCGCGTTCCCGATAAATAACGGACACCGGGATGGTATCCAAACCAACCCTCATAGGATCGTGTCAACTTGCGACTTCAACCAATGAGTTTGTCTCAAAGCATATTCCAAATCAAGCATCTCCTCGGTTCTAGACAGCCAAGCCAACCCACTGGGATCCATGGGAGAGAAACCCACTTTGTCCTTCACCTGTCATCACCAGTAATCAGTAACCCAAATTGGCCCAAATTAGAATATTTCATCCACCAGCAGTTCCTAAGGGGAGCGGAAGATAGCAGGTGCCCAGGTGCCCATTCTTCACAGACTTAGGAACGTGACTAAGTCAAGCCTCAACGGAACTGCTGGCACCAGTCGAACCAACCAGTCGACGGTCGCCGATTCAATCCTGAAAAAGAACAACAGAATCAAAAATAATCAATATGAATCAATAGTATATAGTACAAAAAAATGTAAATATATAGTGTTTCAATTACCCAAACCCAAATGTTAAATCAGAAAGAAATATAACCACATGACAAAAGCACAGCTTCATGACGAATGATGCAATCCTTAATCCATCTTTATTTTTTCATCCGTATACCACCCAATCCACTCGAACCATGACGAGACCATGACGCGGAAAAAACAAAAAACGCCCCGGTTTCACTCCCTGACCCCCCGACTGCGCCCCGGTACCGCGTTGGATTTGCGCCGCAGATTTGCCCAGTTCATGGCGCGCGTGGCCAGGTTGCCGATGCGGTCCTGGGGGGTTTTCCAAATGCCCCCAGGAGAATTCGGTGAAAGGCAGGGAGCGGGTTTGTTGTTGGGAGGTCTGACAATATATTATGACAATATCAGAGTCAATGAGGTCTGATGTCAAACGATCCTAAGATGTCTGACTTGATAGCATTGTTGCGCTATTCAAAATCAATGGCAAAGTCACATCTTGCGCACTTGATCTCCATCCTTTGACCCTCCCTAAACAACCTCCAGAAACCTCCTCGCCCTTGTTCTTCCACCGCAGCTTCCTGCATGGGGATGGAGCGGCCACTGGTGCCATCGCGGCCGCTGAAGATCAGCGGCTCGATGGCGCCGTCGATCTCGGGCAGCGAGACCTGCAAGGCCACCTGCGCCGCTCGTTCACGGCGCCGGGCACGCGTCGGTCGTAGGTGGCGCCGGGCACGCGTCGGTCGAGTTGTCGGAGTCTGCTGGTGAACGAACAAATAAGCACCCCTGAGTCCCCTGAGAGCACCCCTGTTCACAAAAGGGGATGGTGTTTTTAGTCCCATCCAGTGAGTGAGTTGGATCTTGGGCACCCCTAGAAGTGACAAAGGTGACTGTGCATGAAGTGACTCAGGCACCGCTGCGTTCTGAACATCTGGATGGCTCTTGGGACTGTGCAGTGGAGCAGTGGGACTCATGCATACGCTGAGTAGTGGGATGCAACATGATCCAACCCTCGACCCCCCTTTGCAGGAATCATAGCTTTCTGGACCTGTGGAAGCTATGACAGGTGACAGTACATGGACCAGATCGTTGTTTCAACGGCTCTCCCAAATGGGGACGCTGTATTTGTCATCTACTCTGAACAACCTAGAAAATATCGATTGGGTATTCCATTACCAACAGTGGACGATGATCGTTAGTAAAGGGCTCGTTCAAACATAATGATGATTGTTTTCCAACGGCTCTACTGGTTTATTGGGACAAACCCAACCTAATCCTGGGACTGCCATATATGCCTACATGACCCCCAAAACCACCCCAATGTATAGGCATATATGGCAGTCCCATGGAGTGTCTGGGTTACAGATCTACTCTAAAACTATCCTTCACAGCCACCACGGGACCGCCGGAGTTGGCCGCGCCCACCTGAACCGGATGGAGACCCAGTTGGCTGTTCTGCCACTCGGTAAAGGACTGGAACACCAACGGCACACTGACCTCATCCACCGCGGAAGAGGGGCAACCGATCCGATTCCGTCTGTGTGATCCGTTGAGCCGAGAAATGGATCGACAGGAGAACGGCGAACATGCCGGATGAGGGCCTGATGAAGGCCATGCTGGTTGAGGGTCCAGTTGAGGGTCAACATGCAAAGGCATTCAATATTGGTTTGGGAACGAACACATGCTTGACATCTCTCTTGACATCATCAGGATTCCAGGAATTATCCATTGTAACAAGTGAAACTGGTTGAAGGTTGTTGTCCTGTTGATCCCCAGCTGTTCGGTTCATTCCATACCCAACACATATTATATTAGGATACACAGGTTGCGGGTTGGGAGGAGTGAGATGCATGTTTATGTACCCAATCTCAAATCACCTACACAGATCTACACAGGAGAGCTGTAAGAACGTAACAGCAACTCCTCAGCAACTCCTTTACATCTTACCTATTTCATTGCATTCGATGACGAAGCACTCGAACCTGATGAATGCACCCTGGAAGTTTGACGAACCACTGGCATGACAGCTAAAATACCGTGGCTTTGGCAGCTTAACTCCTCTCAGCAGTCTTGCTTTAAGGACCTAAGTGGTGACCAACCTCTTAGGTGGCAACAAAGCCACGGATTTTGATCAATATGGCTGTGGCATGCAGTGGCATGCCGGGGCATTGACTCACAAAGAAAGTCTACGTAAAAACTCAGATCGCAACCCTGCGATCCCCGTCTTATGAAAAATCATCATGAATCAACAAACATAGTGGGTCAGAAGCCGCTCAACTCTGATCTATGGCACAGGAATGTGTTGGTGTCACAACTCAACGTGCTGTGCTGTGCTGAGAGGGAACCAATGCAATCGTTGAATAACTGCCTAGCTGCTGGCCTCACAAGCAATTTCTGTGCTCACATAGAAGCATAATGAGGTGAAAAATAAAAGACTGGACTGACAACTGGCAAAGCACTTCTTTCCTGCCTTCACTGCCAACTCACAAAAAATCGGACCCATCGGAGCCACCGGTCACGTCACGTCACGGGACCCCGGTCACGTTTCCGGACCCCCCTTTCCGGACCCGGTTGGATCGAGGCCGGGAAGCCATGTAGGGTCGGTTCAGCTTCATCAGGACCTCTTTCGCCTTCCTGAGGAACGGCCGAGGAACGGCCAAAGAGGTCGTGTGTAACGCAAGGGGAACGGGAGGCATGTGAGGGTTTTCCACACCAGGTGTCGGGCAGCACATCGATGTGTAAAACAAGGGTGTGAAGGCATCGGACTAAATAGGCTATTGGGAACGTCATGGAACGGACGCGAACCGAAACGGGGCGAACGGAGTCATCGCGACACGAGTCCGGCAGCCGAACCGAAACGCGAACCGAAACGGGGCGAACCTTCCACAAACATCACCTGCCCCATGTCTTTCATTGTCTTTCCAGGGCAAGAAATTCGTGGAATTGAATGAAACAAGGTCTATGTCTTTGCGTTCTTTGTTAAACACATTATACCATATATTATACCTTATATTGTAACGTATTTATTCTGCAATTCAGCCGTTGCCGCTTGTTTCGGACCAACATAGTGGCTCGATACAAGTACGTAGGTGAATCATGCAAGCCTGCCTGAAACCGAAAAGGTCCTTGACGAAAAGGCCCCAAAACTATCGGACTGTCACACTGGACAATCCACGAGGCCGAGTGGCTTGGCATCTTGAGAGGCAGGGCCGCCCACCAGGGAGAATCCAGTGAGGTTCACCAGAGCATCGACCATCCCTCAGCGGAGACTGTGTCCAAAGGGAGGAAGATGCGGTGGAAGATGCGGGTGTCCTTCAGGTTGGAGTCAGAGTCTATCAATCAGCACTAAGTCAGGTGGGCAAGTGAATGAACAAATTGAAAGAAGACTAAAAGTACCTGGACCCTCCAAGGGGTGTCCAATGGACTACCCCACACTACCTATAGGCTTCCATTGGGCACCCCTTGGAGGGTCCAGGTATAGTGATCTTCACGTCCAAAATTGAAACCCCTGCACCACCTCTCGGGCAAAATCGAGGTGCCTTGTATCGGAAGCACCGCCCAAACGCCGCGAACCCACCTATTTTGTGAAAGCCGTGCTGGGCAGGAAAACCCATGCCCCACATCCACATGCATCAGGGTGCATGATGGTGCATGTGTGCTATGGGAAACACCGCCGGATTTTGGATGGGTCTATCCTTCCTTCTTCGGGTGGCGTTTCCTGGGAGATCCCTCCGGCACCTCCGGCACCACCGTCCGCTTCGGACCCAGGGACCGGTTGACCCCCGCGAGCATGGCGAACGGAGCTACGTTCGTAGCGTCCAGGAGCGATGCCAGGAGCCCCTAGTACTCTCTTCCATCGGGTTTTGGGGACGGTTCAGCGGTTTTGCTGCCCAGATTCCTTCCCCCGTGGGGCCGGCGAGATACTCCTGGCAGGAAAAAAAGGACGGTGCAGTGAGAGAATGGGCATGGGCTAATGTTGTCCAAGTACCGAAGGTGGAAGAAGTGGCTGGTATCCACCCTCTACCATCCTCTATCAACCATGATATTGAATCTATTTCCTGAGTCCTCAGTCTATGGCTGTCCGGCCAATCCCACAGCACAATTGAGCAAATGAATGCAAATCAGCCGCTTGACAAGAAGAAGGTGGATGGGCCCATTCTTCACTCACCGTGTACGCTCTAATAAGAACCCCTCTGGAACTCCTCATATGCAAACATAATGTGGACATAGGATAAAACAACACCACAATCGAGGCATGGTTCACGGGGCGCGATTCTGAATCTGGCCTTGCTGCTACATCTAACCTCTAAAGCACTTCGATGTTGCCTCAGCCACCCCAAAAGAACCTCTCCCATCTCTCCCACTCCTCCCCCAACTACCCCAACCAAGAAACTGAAAACAACCACCTCAAACGTCACTCCGTCGCCGTCGCTTCTTCCTTTCCCTTCCTCCACCTCTGTCACTCACCCCCTCCTGCACGGGCACCGAGAAGTCAAGGCCACCGGTGTAAGTGCAGCACACTCGTGCACCCCGCCGCTCCAACTCCTGCACCATGCCCACCTGCCACGACCGGTACGCACAGCACGCAGCACGACCAGACAGGTGGAGGGAATCGCCAGCGGTGTGGAGACGGTGTCTTGTACCAGGGAGACACCCCCCACCCACCCCCACACGCCCCGGCTTGATGGACGTCTTGGATGTTTTGTGGTCGACTGGTCCAAACCGAACCGCAGCCGGTCATTTCACCCCCCGTCTCCCTCCTTTCTCGTACCGGGGCACTCCGGCCCTCACTCAGTCGCTCCCATTCCCTCCTCTTTCCCGCGAGCTCAAGCGCACGAACGAAAGCCGAGTACGCGCTCGCTACTGCGCTCGGCCGAGCCACGTAGTGGCCATCGTCCTTGGTGGCGATGTGCGACTTTTGGAGCACCATGCCAATGGTGGGCGCCTCCGTGGCGATGCCCGCGGCCGGGCAATGCACCTGGCTGTGGTGGCGTGGCGGTGGTTCTTCCATGATGGATCTGAAGGCTTCAAGGTGAGAACATCAAGAAAGACAAACAAACTCCATCGAACACAACACACGAAGGATTCGTGAATAGTTGTGATTGGAGCGCGGAGTTGATGGAGAAACTATGAGAAACTCTTCAGGTCCTATGGTGAAACCATGGATTACTGTAATGTTTGGAGACTCCCAAATGGTGGCAGAACAGAATCGATCAGAAATCTGTAACTGTACACATGGGTGAACATCGAACTATCCAGAAGGATGGGTAGAGGACAAAAACTAAACACACAGGAAGTTGCGGGTTTCGAGCAGGGATAAGGAAACGACCACATTCACTTTCAGCATGAAGCTAAACTCAGATCCAAGCCAAGCATGCCACGGGGCACGTTGTCATACCACTCACGGTAGTCGTTCATGGTGTCAAAAATCTGTGGAGCCAGCCTCAAAGTGCGCGGTAGTATGTTTGCTGTGGATTGCTATGAATCACATGAGAAGTGATCCTGCGAGTTCTTTGCACACGACCCGACGCTCAGAACCTGACCAGTTCTTCACGGAATGGCGGGAGAGAGAGAGAGAGGCTAGGCCCAGGCAGGTTCATTCGAGTCTCTCAAAACCAAACAAGTAGTCGGAACAAACATAAATAGAACTTACATGCACGACAGCATCTTGCGCGTGTGCGTGCAGTTGAACAGTGATCAGAACTGAAAACATGCTCGCCAAAAACCTTAACAACACCAGTTGTTCAATGAAACAATGATAATGATGCTGTTTTATCTTGAAACAATCAAACATCAATAGTCACAGGGGAAGCTTTGGGAACTTCACCCAGAGTACCGCCCAAGACACTGAACCAACCTGGTGCTCTCCCAAATTAAAGATCTATTTAACTGATTTCAACTAGCAACCAAATTAGCTGGCGGCGAAAGAACAATGACTCTCAGAAGCTCCAGAAGACCATATGTACAAATATATATAATTATTCTCAAAAAGCGGGTCAAAAAAAAACTGACTCCAAAAAACCGTACCATTGGGAGACACAAACACTGACGTCCACTGATGTCATGATAGACACGGATGCCAAATGCCCATGTCCGGCAGCACCACCGGGTCCATCAAGGCTTCGGTATCGATCTCCTCGAGCGGATCCGCGAATATCCCCCGAATCCCCGCACGAGTAGAGTCGACAAACCAAGAATCTGCTCCAGGAAACGTATCTGCTGTCTTGGATACTGCATGGTACCTACTATCAAGTGCTGTGCTGAAATCCCTGGAACAATCCCTGAAACAATCATGGAAGTGGATGGCATGGCCCCTGGAAAAGAAAACACAAATCCTCGACAAATATGGGGGTTGTCCACTTCATGCTTGTTGGAGGGAGGGAGGGAGGGAGGAAAAGAGAGAGAGGATGCGAGGGGGGAGGGGAGGTTAAGCTGAGAAGCCAAACATGCACGCCTTTCTGCATGTCTGACATTTCAGCCTGTGCAAATTAAAACGCCGTTGTCAATTTCTGCTCAAACCAAAACGCCACCAGAAGAAAAACTACACACAAATGCCTTGTTGAGGTTTGTGCTGGAAAGCACAGGATCCCGACAAAGTGAGTTCACACACTTGTTTCCAGTCAAACAATCTTGACACCCAAAAGGCTGCTGGATAAAAAAACACCGTTGGAGTATGTTGAGTAACATTCAAAAGCACAATCAACAACATGTTTCCACTGCTGTAGTGGAAAGGACCCTCTTCTTCTAGGTAAGTGGACCCTCAAAAAGTTATCAGTCCGGTGGACGGACAAAATCTGGCTCGTTTCATTGAAATCGCACCCGTGAAAATTCTATTCACATTTCACAAATCCTGAAACCTGCCGCGATCATGCCTATTCGCTCATTATTTGGTACAGGTGGCTACTTTGCCGCCAAACCTCCCAGAAAACCTGCAATCCTAGCCAAAGGGGATGTGCACCTGAAACCACCATGGAAAGGGACAAAATGGGACAAATAAGTCTTGGGCCATCAATGGAATCAATGGTTTCAAATGAGAATGAGCAAACTGTCACAGGCCCGAGGAAAAACAGCCCCCAAAAAAGCACCAGCAACAACCTACTTGAGTCCGAGGCTTTGATTCAGCCATGTGCATGTTCTAGGCACATGGTATAACTGCTGTTTCCTGTCGGGGTCACCTGGCTGGACAACGCCACACCACTTGTAGGTCTCCATTGACACCTATTGGAATCTCTAGGTACATCCATGGGTCTGTATTGAAATGAACAGACCTCCCAACGACCCCTCTGGAAAGGTTCGGGAAATGGACTAGTCGACCTAGCCAGGGGCGATCGGGGGTCTCCCAAGAACATACACGACCCATGTGGCTATGGGTCCCCATATGGCTTTGTTGATTTTCACAGAACATGAACATAAATAACTGTATGCAATCTGGGATCTCAATGTATCAAACGCGGTCCTCCTCAGTATTGGACTGTCCATCAACCTGTGCTCTCACATGCTCTTTTATGTGTGTTCTCATCTGCGTGCCAATCTTGCACGACCACTGAAGGTTATTTTCATCATGATCCTGATTTTCTCGAAGCCTCCAGATCCAGATCCTTGCAGAATGTTTTTGGAGCCTTCCAACTTCACCCTTTTTCGGTTCCCCCTCTCCTCCACACCCTTCACATAGCCACCGGCAATCCGCAAGAGCATGGCCTGAAAATCACAGGACCATCATGGAAACGCATAGAAACGAAGTGGGCCACACCGTACCTGGAAACCCTGTGGCCTTAAACCAGAAATTAGGGAGTGGTTCTTGAAACAAACAAACAAAGGAACAAACAAGCAAGCAAGCAAGCAAGCAAGCAAGCTAACAAAAACAACACAAAACAACACACACACACCAAACACTCTGTTTCAAAAAAAAAGTTCCTTTGGCCTTGAGGCCGTGTATAGAACATGATTTTGCTCACGAACAGTTCCGGGGCTAAAGACTAGTCATTGGTTAAACGGCCTTGGTCACTCACCCGGAGCCTCCAAGTTCTCAGGGGTGCCGCCCAGCCAGTGCTGCAGCGAAAGCACAAAGGTCCTGCAACATCGAAGCGTCGAAGCACGTTTTGTAGATGTGTTGGATTTCGGTCGAGTGGTTGAATAAATGATGATGTTGTTTACTTCTGGTGGATGGTCGATTCATGTTGATTCATTTGAGCCATGCCAAAAACCTCTATCCTAAGCCCTTATACTAACAACATGCTTTCGCAGATCCTTACGCGCTGCTTGCGCGACCACAGTCTTAGCTTTCGCGCGCATTGGTGTTCCAACTGTTGCTTTCGCAGGCGCTTTCGCGCGCTGGCCTCTTTAGTTTTCTTTGGGCAGGGACAGTATAGGAAGCAGCAGATATACCACACACATTTTCTACTCCAGGTTTGCTTTCGCGCTTCCTTCGCGAAGCTTTCGCGAAGCTTTCGCGGATTCTAGTCCCATCACCAGCTTTCAGATACTAAATGAATAACTGTTTGACTTGGTTATGTGCCAGCATTAATATATGCTTTCGCAAGACCTTTCGCATCCAATACTCTTCAGGGTCTTTCGCAAAATGCTTTCGCGAGCTTTCGCGGCCTGGGTTTTAGCTTTCGCGCCACAACGTTAGAATAACTCTCTTACTAAACCTTTACATGGGAGTTTATGGCGCTGCTCATTTGACGATCTTTCATGGTCGCGTCGTTCTCATCATCGCGCTGGTGTTTGGGAGGTGATTTATCCGCCGTGATGAGCGGAACCCAAAACAAACCAACACCAACGGCCACCAACACATTCAGGCCTATCGCGACGCGCGTATTTATCGGCGCGTATATCGCCGACACGGCGACACGGCGGCGACACGACACGGCGTCGGTCCTGGCATCTTTGGCCTGGTCGCCAGGAAGGAACTTTAAGACCTGGCCGACGAGTCGCCGCGTAAGGACGAGTCAGCCGCTCGGACTTGAGAAAACCCTGCGGGTTTTGCAGGGGTTGATGCAGGGAAGGTTTTTGGACGACGTGTTTTTTCTGGTGAAGCCCTTTTTTGCAGGGCTGCCACCGCAAGGGTCCAGGGTTGCAGAAACCCAACACCAATGGCCCATGAGTTCCAATCCAAACGACGCTAAGCAGCTCAGCTATAGGAACAGAAGTCCACTCACTCATACATGATTAAGAACTTTCTAGATCCCTTGTATCCAAACAAAACACGGTGCGCTCCACACCTCGCTGGAAGCAGTGCCCACACGGTTGCTTAGTCACCCCCCCACCCACCACCACGCAAGTCTGACCTTTGGAAGTGTTCGCACCAACTTCAGGAGGCTGTCCTGCTTCAGTGTCGCCAACGACCCGACTTCGGAACACTGAACGCGACTGAACTCAAACACATCTTTTTCGACCTTTTTCGAGCTGCTTGCTTTGGAGGTTGAAGACAGAAACGGGGACCCTGGATGAATCGTCAAACCACGCGGTGCTTTCTAGTATATAAATTAGATTGATGTTTGCCCTCAAACTACCTTGGTGTATTGAAACCTGCTAGATGCCTGCAAACCCAGGCTTTTTCGCTTTAACAGGCCAAATTATGTGGTTTTGGCTTCAGGCTTAGAATTACCAACATGTGCCATGGAGAGGTGGGTGTAACGGACAAATAACAAACAAAAAGGATCGGTTCTATCCATGAAACCATAAATTGGCTAATCAAAATCCCTGGACAAATCACCAAATGAAAACTACACGTACAGTACATCCTATGATGTAAATGCAGGTGGGAGGGGAAAAAAGACACATTGATCCACCCACATCTGCCACATCCTAGCAAATTATTCCACCTCAGTTCCTGCCTTATCAATCAGCAACAAAACACTGGTCTCCTTCTTCCGAACCCTAACCGTTTAAAGGCTCATTTCTTGTTGCAAAAAATGTGTGACATCTCCATCTGAGACCCTCTCTGTCCTGGAAGTTGCCGCCGGAGGCGGGCTTGTTCGACAAAGACTTCTGCCTCAGGTCCTTCACCTGGAGCAAAGCGAGCATCGTTCGGTGGATTCGGTGCTGCGACGTCGGCCGGCGCAAAGGATACAAAGGATTTGGTTGGGGGCAGGGTGACAAAACTACGGGAAGCTGCCTCCAAGGCTGATATGAAGTACCAAGATGCAGCAAGTGATGTTCCAAGAGAATTGGAAAAATCACCCAATGTCTTTGGCACAGGACTCAGCCACTCATGGTCCATGGTAGAAATAATTGCTGAAATCATCACTGACAGCTGGGGGGGAGCTTCTCCAAAGGTTCCTTCTTGACTCACCAACCTAAACCAATATTTGATTCAGTCAAAATATCTAGGCTCCTGCGGGTCAAACACCCTGGCCATCATCCCACAAATGCCTATAGCAGGTCTTAAACACACATCACTAAAGCTAAACCCTTCCATCAACGTCATCAACTTAAATGATCCCCTTACTATTGATCACTTTTCAATTGACTTGCTTGGACTGCAGAAAGCCGCAGCGCAAAGCCGCACCACGACTGCCCATGCGCACTCGCCCGCAAGCGGCGGCCTGCTGCGCAAAGCTGCCCAAGGGGCCGCCAGCAATCTGGGTCAAGTCGAAGGTTCCCAGTTTGTTCTGCTTCATGACCTGCAGAAGAACCGTGGGAAAAATGATTTCAGGACCCGACAAAGACTTCTCAGAACAATGGGGTTCACTCATATATGTCAATATAGAGCTGTGATGCTGTGTCTGGAATTAAAAGCCAGTTCTGTGTCACTATCCCACGAGTGAAATCATCCCAAACATGAATAGAATGTAGTCTAGTCTACCTAATCTCGTTGCTAGACCGCCCTTCACACACTCGCAGCACACCCCACTGGAAGTCAAGCTCTTCTAGTAGAAGTCTAATAACTGTACTGTATACGTGTTAGGAAAAGAATGCAAATGTACAAACTCACGCTTCCCTGATGGGCTTCACGGGCTACGGATAAGTCCGTGGCCCTGAAAAGCCTTTCGGGCAACTCGAGACCGTCTCGGGGTGGAAGTCATAGGTGCAAAGGACGCTACGAACGTAGCTCCTGGCCTTACCACTAGTAACAAGAAGCTACGAACGGAACAAGGGCATCGCTACGTTCTCGGAATCCTGGAGAGGTCTCGACGTCGGTCTGAAGCACGTCCCGATCGAGACGTCCCGACCTCCGGCATGGAGGGGAAGCAAAGGCAAGCGTCCAAGTGTTCCCGCCGGGGCTCCACCTGAGGCGTCTGGGAAGTCTGGCGGTGCGACCAAGCTACTCCGTTCTGGGAGCACGGGGTGGCTGGGGGAGAAGACGAGAGTAAAACTGAACCAAAAAGAACATGCCAGTGGGAGCCGCGGAGATGGATATCATGGACATGGAACATACAAGACCCTCTACCAAATCCTGAAATCCTGTCAGCCAGGAAAGTAATTAAGTGCAAAGTGCTGTTCCAAACAACTATGATTTGGACAACAAATACCTGACATGTGGTTCACAATGTGTGGCCGACCTACCATCCAACAACCACCTTTAACGAAAACACGTTTGAAACTGTACAAATCGCTGCGTATACCGACTGATGCCTCCCTCTTGTAGAAAAGAAGCTTTCTTAAGGTAGTCACTCCAAATATCCATTAGCATCTACAACTGTTCGCTAGTATGCAGTGCCAAATGTACCAGCAGCGCTCTCTCTCTCTCTCTGTCTGTGAACAATATCGCGAAAGGTTAAAACATGGCATCTCATGGCCCAAGGGGTGTGATCTCACGAAAGGAAGACACCAGGCATCCAAGGATTCCAAGGAAGGCACCGCCCTTCCAGGCCCAGTTGGGGTGTTTTTGTTGGGACCCGACATCCCCTGATATCCCCTCACTGACCAAATTTACCCATCCAATCACCACCCGAACTGGGTGCTGCTATCTTGTTGTTGTCTGCATCATTTAGAGTTTTGGTCTTGTTTCCGCATGTTTTGCCTTGTTCATATGGACCATATCATATCTCGATCTCCCTGGTAGTCTATTCTGTTCATGTTCGTTGGTCAACTAGGGTCCCCTGGTTTTTCAAAACCCAGAGCCAAAGCCGGACCAGTCGGTCGCGATTCGTCGTTGAACCCAGTCGATCTTCACCAGGCAGCGATCTTCACCAACTTCTCCGCCAGTTCCTGGACGAAGATCAAGGAGCCTCGCTGTCTACGGGGAGGACCGAGAGACCCGGAAAGACACGATGTGTGGGACCCGTTGCCGTTGGTGGGATGCCTTTGTTGGGCAATATCACTGTGTTTTTCATTCAGAAATCCACCTGCACATTGTGGAAGGAAGTTTCTATTGGAATTGCTACTTGCTGATGTTGTTCCCGACCAGCTCTTTCGAAAGACTAGAAAGGAATTCCCAAAATGGTTCTCTCAAAACCCAAACACCCATACCTATATACATTGGGGGTGCAGGGCGGTGAATGTAGGTATTTTAATATATATTATATATTCCATACATGGAGTGTCTGGGATGTCTGGGTCGTCCCAACAATGCTTTGTGCTTCGCTGTCGGGCGTTTACTTCCAAGGAGCAAATGAACACGTTGGCATCATCTAAGTCCTGCCAAGGCGATTTGAGATCATTAGAGAGATACCAAGATTGCTGCCATTTCTTTTTTAAGGGCCCCCTGCACCTCTTCACCGATCCATGCGCATGTTTGCCCACTAATGCGCATGTTTGCACAGGTTGTTTGATGTTTTTGCTGCTTGGTTTGCGAACAATGTTTTTTGTTTACCCACACTTAGTACTCCAATAAACATCCAAACATTCCCATAAACATTCCCTTTCAGAATCGAACAGCCCTACCTTCTACCCGGCCATGTTCATGCGGTGAGCATGTGTACGGATGATAAGCATGTGCATGGATAATAAGAAAGGAATCGGAATCATAATTATTTATAAACAAATATACATGTACGCCGCGCAAAGCTGCCAAAAAGAAAGGCCCGCCAAAAAACAACATTGAAACATAACAATATATTGAAAAGTGTTTTGTTTTTTTTGTGCTCGTAACATACTATACGACACTATGGCAACTAATTACTTGCAAGGGCAACCCACCACAAGCATAACAAAAACAAGAGCCAGCAACAAGATGCAATAAGCATCCACACCCGCCAGCAAGGACCCCAACCAGTGTCCCAACAACCTAGCATCCAAATCTTGAAATATGCCCTGCACTCCCTGTCCTCTCGTGCCCCTCCTGGACCATGGCCATCCTGAATTCCCCTATGATACAACAAAGCATCTCTTCCTGGAGGATAAATCCCGATCAATCCCACAGAATCCCACTACTTCCTACGTCCTGTCCACCCCAGACCGTCCTTGGCCAATTCCTCCTCACTCTCCGGGCTGCGGATCTCCTCGACCACGCACAGGGGAAACAGCACTGCACACCGTTCGACCACGCAGGGTAAACGGTTCTGGTTTCTGTTTCAGTTCCGCAGGAAACCCGTGTTCCACCAACAACCCTACTGAGTGCTATATCTCTCCTGAGTTCCGCAAGGCTACAGCAATGGCCATTCATTACAAGAACACATACAAATCATACAAAGCCTTAGGCCATACATTGGGTGCATCCCCACATGGTCAACCATTGGTGGCACCCCATGAAGCCAATGGTCTTTGGATGCGATCGCCTCTCGCCGTTCGATGTCCCGCCTCCAGCAGATATCCCACGCACTCCATGCAAACGGGGCCCGGGGTCTTGTTGATCTGTCGGATGGCTGTGGTCATGGCCTGGACGCAACGAGGAGGGCGTAGCCCCTGAAGATTCAAGACCGTTCCATGAAGAATCACAGGCAAACGTTCTCCTCGGCCTGTCTGTCTACTTGACCTTTCGGACGTAGTGGCCAGGCAGGCTACACTGTGGCACAGCGAGTCCCCAAGAATCATTGCAATACAAGCAAAGTGATCAAGAAGTCAGAGTCAATGTGTTTGGATAATGTTGGATCCTGATTAGTAAATGGTACCTCTATAATGCTAAATTTTTCCAAACTTATTTAGACCCCCCTGTTAGAAAAATGGTACCTCTATAATGCTAAAAAAAATTTGGGCCCTAAATTTTTATATTGGAAACCCAATAAATCAGGGTTTGAATTCCTTCTGAACCCTGTCCACCTGCACTCCCCCCCCTTCCTTCTGAACCCAATTAAACCCTTTAAAAAAAATTGCTCCTAAACAAATTTTCAAGGTAGTAGACCAGGAAGGCGCCTGATCCTCAATAATAAATTTGTTTTTGGGACCTCTATTGTGAAAAGTTTTTTCCACTGGAAAAATGCACATGGAATCTCCCTTTACTTGGCTCCTGAGGCCAATGATTATGATTCATTAGCTGATATAGCTTTCTC